TCTTTTATTGTCACAACAGAACAGACTGATGATAGTGGCATTAGTTAGCTTTATGGTTAGCTAGCCTACGATGAGCCATAATTTAGCAATGGATCATCATACTGCAAATTGTAAAACATACATTTTGAATATAACAGGCCAAGGAGAGATGATACGTCTCATTGCTATAACTGTCACGCGCTATTAAAGAAATACTTCAGTCACATTGTCAAAAGTTAAAAGGACAGTCAGGCAACTACACTGTAACAACGTAACGTAACTATTACTAGCTAATTCCCCTTCACTCTCAGCTTATTTAACAGCAGCAAAAGTGGACATGATAGTCACAAATTTTGTCATGCTTATTTGAGTTAAGAGAAATGATTGGGGATGTTCTTTTAATTGTTATTCAAGCAATGTATGTCTCGTGACGAACTCAACGAGTGTTGCCAACAGGAACGGTGTAGAGTGCCCTCTGGTGGACAAACTATACAACTCCAACACTCAAGCATGGTTCAAGAGTGTTTCGTCCATTTTTTTATTTTATTTTTGAAATATTCATTTATCGGCCATTATAACTGCCGATACCGATAGTTTGGAAAATGCCTAATATCGGCCGATAAAATCGGCCTGCCGATATATCGGTCTGGCTCTTTTGAGTTTTTTCCTTTTCTCAAAACAATCCGTTCTGTTCTTCAAAATGTCATCTTTTACGTTCCACTGAATAAGCGAAAGTCACACAGGTTTGGATCAACATGGAGAGTAAATTATGACCAAGGGGGGGGGGGGGGGTGGGGAGGACAACCTTTAATAGATTGAAGAATGCTGCACTTTTTATTTCCACTTTTATTTTAGATTAACATCAGGATTTATTTTATATATTTTGTTGTTTGCATTACTTTATCAGAAAACTTAAAATAAGGAACAAATGTGCACCTCGAAATGATGATGAAGTAGACATATCGCAGTTCAAACCAAGTGAGAAAACAACTTTAACAAGACATTGTGAAGAAGAACCTCAACATCAACTTCTGATTGTGGACTTATTTTTGTGTAATGACCACTACACTTTATAATTATAATTTATGTATTTATTTGGTAAATATATAATTAGGGTGATACTAAATCCCTCCGCTTCATGATAATGACTGACTGACTGTATATTAAGCCTTACATAGAGCCTGCAAAATAGGATCTCACAAAAAAAAAAAACAATGCAAGGGAAAGTAAATTTAAAAAGATTATCATACATCAGTGTTATTTCATTCCATTTGATTCTCAAGCCATGTAGGTTTAGTGAAGCCATATATAGCCATGTCAAGCATCTGAGCAAATAGTACCAATGCACAGTAGCTGAAGATATGCTGCGCAAAGACATACATTAATTATTTATCATTCCATCATGCTGAAAAACCTCCACACACTGAACATCAATTATTTCTGAACTGTTAAATTCCCCATAAGCAAACAAATATTATTTATACAAAAATGCAAAGACAAAGATAGCACTGTAAAACATTAGCCACAGTCAACAAACAAGCATCAGGCCAACACTGTTCAGGTTCCATTACTAAATGGCCTGAAGTCGAAATTAGGCTGTTTACTAATGAGAAATCTTTCTCAGCTGTGAATAGTCTCTTCACGTATTCGTCTTTGGTTACCCTTTCCATAACGCGACCACTCACTCTGCTCAGGCAAAACACGGGGCAAGAACACACACATGACCAGAAAAGTGTAACTGACTCCTCCTTCCTCTTTCCTCCCTTTTCCCTCCTTCCGTACAGGGGGTCTTTCTACCCTGTGTCCAATCCCAGTGGTCTGCATGCACACACACGCATACACACACACACATACAGAGCCAACTTCCCCTTCAATGGGCCTCTCTACAGGGCTACAGTCAAGGCCTCACAGCTTCTGCCTAGAGTTACAGAAACTACACACAGGCCCACACATTCCAGCCTCTGAAATGAGCACCACCACAATAACAACCTAAACATCACAATCCAGTTCCTTTAAACAAAAGAAACATATCATCATTGCAACCTACACTGAGGAAGACATGTACAAATGAAAGTCCAGAACGGCACAGGCTCAGACGCTATCGTGATTGTGGACATAATACACAGGTGCATGGAAACTCAGGAGCATGCTGAACATGTAAACGTCCTGTAAAGACTCGTATAGATTTTGATTTTGCTACTGCGGTACACTCTGGAGCCCATCACAAAACAAATCCATGTATTTTTAGTAACTTATCCTGCACTGGTAATCTACTAAAAAATGTAGTTTGTGTATACATTACAGATCAAAAGTTTTATGGTTTTCTCTCACCAAGAAAGTAGAAATGTTCACCCAAAAATTGGACCAAAAAAAGCAGTAAAAACAGAAATTGCGTGAAATATTATTACAATTCAAAATTACTGTTTTCCATTTTACAATGCAATTTATTCCTGTGATGGGAAAGCTGAATTTTCAGCAGCATCATTACTTTAGTCTTCAGTGTCACATGATCCTTCGGAAATCATTCTAATGGCATATTTGGTGCTCAAGAAATATTTATTTTTTAGCATTGATGATAAAAACAGTTGTGCAGATTAATATTTATGCATTCCTGCTGAATAAAAGTATTAGTTTCTTTTGAAAAAAACTACTGACCCCTAATTTTTAAAAAGGTGGTGTACGAAAGACAGTAGTACTGAATAAACCGGAAAGAGGGTTTTGAAATCTTCCCAGGGTATCACGTCTAATCTTGTTACATGGTTGGATATTTCAAACTATTTCCACTCAAATTAGAAAATAGCAGCACAATTGCAGCATCATTCACAAAAGCAACCACTTTTACCAAATGCATTCTAGCCACACAAAACACAAACACATTATCTGATACAAGTAGTCCAAGGCATAGCCAATCAAGCACGGGACAAGGTTAAGCATTACTTTGATTTTGAAAGTCTACTACCTGACATAAACCAAAAGAAATGAAATATAGGAATTCATATGGCCAGGTATTTTCTTTTTACCATGCCCTAGTTGTCCATTACTCTATCAAAATGTCTGTAAAAATAGGGCACAATGTACTCTATAAATCTGAATTATTTAAATATAAATGTTACGTATTTCTTTTTTACAGGTGTTTTACCTGCATTTTAAATTATGCATTGCATTGTATTTTAAGGATAGCGGAAATTTCCATAAAATTAATGCATAAGTTCCTGGCAGAAAAATTACCAGTACATTTTACGATTTTATTTCTTTACAATGTAGCAACGCTGAAAAGGTCCAAGCCCAGTTCAACAGACATGTTAAACAAACTATGCGGACTACAACAGATTCTCAACATACCAACAGCACAATGTGCTTTCATGTGAGTCACACGCTCTCTCTCCACAAGGGCATTATGTTTAACAATACTGCTGAGGTTATTATGATTTATATAGCAGGGTTTTAATAAAACATTTTGTGTTTCACTTTTAGTATAAGGTTTTATAAAACATATAGGCCTCCATCAGGAAATTGCTATGCACTTTTTTCTAATAATATTGTGAAAAATGATAATAAAGGTATATTATTAAGAAAGCAGAAAACTGACAAAAGAACAAGAAAGCAGAATTGAAAAAAAAATATTCAATTGGAAGAGTTATTTTCACTTAAAATTAAACATTATACAAATGGGCAAGTGCATATCATGTCTTGATGTACATTTAAATATGCCCAAATGTGAAAGCATATGAATGAAATGTAATTATATTGTGACCATTATAATGGATATCAACTACAAAGCATTAATAAATGCATTAATGTATGGAAATATTATCAAAGCAAGTTACTATAAAATGATACCGCAAACACGCTCTATCAAAAAAAAAAAAACATTTATCCGATGTGAATCAGTACACCAGAACCTGCATTTGTGTTATGAACTGACGTTACTATGTGGTTAGAAAAGTGAGCTAAATCTCCAAAGCAGAAACTTTAAAGGTGCTGGTAAAGCTATAGAAGGCAGCGATATTGTTTGTCGCTGTGGTTGTATGATGTCGCAGTTACAAATTACGTTACTGCAACAGATGAGCTACGCAGCTATAGAATTAAAGTCAATACACGCTTGTTTTGCTTAGAATAGAATTAATTTTCATTAGCAGGGATTTTCTGCTTTAAGTCATTCTTCAGAACTATCTGTTCTCGGAGGCATGTGCAAAGTTATCCACGTTGTATAACTTGCCAAGATCGGTGTTTAAATTGCATTCAATCAGTGCAACGAGAAAGATGCATCGAAGACATGACGATTAAATAAATAAACAAACAGGTATTATAGTTACAAACGTGTTTTAGCTCAGCAACTACCCAGATAAACTCTCTCTCGCTCTATCTGGAGCTCATGTGCCATGTTAAAAAACAGTCACTTGAGTAGGTTACCTAACATTAGCAGACTAGCAGCTTTTGTTGTGAATTGCATTAGTGTGAGCACAAGGTTCACTTTGATAATAGTGTGTGTTAGCTCGCTTCGTAACGTTACCTGCGTGCAACTTTTCCGATCAAGCGTGATGTGACTTTTGGTGCCTCACTCTAGCCCGTAACTTGTAAATCTTGTTTTTTTTTTTGTTTGTTTTTTTTTTCACACCGAGAACTTGGCGCCAGCTCACATGCTAGCACGCCGAGAAAACACGCCCACCGCCTCGGCAGCGCAGCCCGCAGAGGGTCGCCTCTCTCCGCGTCCAGTCGCACCGCAGCCCCGTATTCGAGATTGAGCCTCTGGAGGAGCTAGTCGATGAGATGCTAACGAATTACGCTGGCTATTGCAGAGTTGCAATCCATCCCATCTCGCGAGTCTATGGATTAACTAAAGACAAATAAATAAAAAAAAACCTTCGAATCTTAAAGTACTGTCTCCGCGCCCTGTGGGTGATTCGCAGTTTCCAGGCACAAAATAAACTTTGAACCCACGCTGGTTAGGACTGTAAAAATGTTGTACTTGACCCTAAATAGATGGGACTCCGTGTAATTACGCCCCGCCCCGACTCTACCCTGTACGGCGGATTTTCCTCCAAAGACTGTGCTGTGAGCGTTCGTCCGCTGTTTTGGTTGGTGTGACATCCTCTGCCACGCGCGCACTGTTTGGACAGGTCGGTTGTTCGTAAAGCGCGTGGGGACAACTCCCACATTCCACAAGCAAAACACACTCACTCACACGCAAAAACCCCACTGCATTCACAGGCACAGACTGCGCGCGCACACACACATACATACATACACATACTCACGCGCGCGAGGGGTGTGTCATGACGTCAGAGGCATCAACGAGGTAAACAGTTTGTCCGCATGAGGTCGAACATAATGTTCGTGTATAAATGTGGAGAAATGTGTGTCAGCCACTTGATCGGTTTTGGACTGCATTAAATGAATGAAAAATATTTTACTCATCCTGTTGCAAACACAATCTTCTTCTTTGTAACAAAAAATATGTTATGCAGAAGGACTGTATAGGCCTACTTTGCACTTTCATTGTATGTAAATAAAAGGCTGCAAGGATATCACTCCCTATTATTCCGCCTTATTTATTAATTTATTATTTATTTTAATTTTTTGTGGTGAAAATCATAAGGGTGAGTAAATGGTAAGAGAATTTATTATTATTTTTGTATTTTGCTGTTACTTTAAGAAAAACATACAATGCAAACAATTTATGTCCGAGCCAATAACCTAGACCTAATAGCAGTATGCGATTTCAGTCACTACAGTAACCGCAGTAATTCATGGAAATGTTCAGCCATGTATGACGGCCAGTCTTTTTAAATATAATATTTTGGTTCTTAAGGAGATGAGTTCATGTTTTTGGGTGTGTCAGTCTGCCTGAGTATTATAGCAGAGGCTTCTGTGTTAGGCCTCGAACGCTGAACACAATGTGGTGTGCGTGTGTTTATGCATACGATCACATGAGGAAATTCATGATCGCTGTGGCACCGAGAAAAATGGTTTTGTGTCGTGTCTGTGTGCATGCATTTGTGTGTAGGCCTATATAATATCTGAGCAGATTGAAAGTGATTCGTGAATGTTGAGATCAGGGTTGTCAGCGAAAGTAAGATCGTAGTCGTAGTACTAGTAGAGGCATGAATGGAAGCAAATTTTACATTCACAAATGCAAATTCTCAAACTGTAAACCTGTCTTCTCTGTCTTCTTAAAGGAGATAGAAAATTATTTAAATGTGATTTCAGGATCTACTAATATGAAAGCCATAAGGACTATCAGAATCTGCACTGCGTCATGTGAAACCATTTCATGGGATTTAATGGCCCTACGTCATTTTTTAAATTAAATTAATTAATTGATTTATTTTTGCTATTGTCTACTTTATTGTTTTGGTTGATATTATGTGATGTGCGTATGCTTTCTCTTTTGTATGTTCCCGTTCTAAGTATTATATAAAAAAGAAGAAGAAGAAAAAAAAGGCATGAACGGAAGTAAAAGATACAGAGAGAGGGGGGGGCAGGCCCCTTATGGTTATCCCCTGGCTGTTTCCGTTGTCCTCTCACGGGAACATATGGGCTATTGTTTGGAAATATAGAGGGGCACGTTTAGGGTACTGAGCATTCTTTGTACATCCACTTAAAACTGAAATGCAAAGAGAAATAAAAGATTCAGAGGCTTACAGATTCGGAATATGTATAATCTCATTACACTATCAACAAAATAATATGTGAATCTCCTTGTGATGTTTAATCTGGTCTTGTGACCTTCTGATGACTTGTTGTGGTATTCACCTAGATCCCTCTCACTCCTGCGTTTGCTAGACTAAGAAAATATTCACTTTTTTTTTTTTTTTTTTTTTTTTTTTGCAAAACCTTTGTTCTCCTCTCTCCATTTCTAATGCACAAAATGTTCTGACGGTTACAGTGATGTAACAGGTCATGACCTCTCATAGACTACAAAGATCGTGTTGGAATGTGGGAGGAACGAAAATGTTTCTTAATTTTAGGTCAAAGGTGAAGGACAGCCAGCCAATCAGGATTTTGCATGGAAATCATATAAAAGCATGCCTTAAAATACTTTAAAAAAGCTATAAACGATTAAAAGAAATCAGCAAAACACTTTTTAAATGGTAAAAGTATTATTATAGTAGGCTTTTGTATATGTTTACTGTTGTGCAACATAAGGAGTTGTTTGTCAAATTCATAGTTTAATTCATTGTGCATTTAAATTAATACGTAAATTAAAGCTGTCCACAGTTTTTCCTCTTTGTCACCATCTCTGTTCGAAATCTGCAATTGCAGTTATTCACGGAATTATCAACTTTACGTGGGTTGTGGTTCGGCACGGCCACATTGTGTAAAATTAGATAAAATTGGGGTTACACCTTATTTTAAGGTATCTTTGTTACTGTGTAATTGCACAAATAAGTACTCTGTAAAAAATCTTTTGTTGACCACTAATTTTTTGTTTCTTTTTTTTTTTTTTTTTTGCATGGGCTTTTTGAGTTTTAAAAGTCTATCTGACAAATTATAAAGTAATCTGACTAAATGTAGTTATGAAAACTTTAGATTCACTTAAATTGGATAGTTACAAAATCTTCAGTTACTGTAGCAGCAAATCATTATTGAATGTATTAGCACTAAAATATTAATTCGTAAATTACATTTGATTTAGACTAAAATGGCAAATTAAAATGACAGCAACAATAAACACCTAAAACAACCACAAAGCTATCTTACACCTGACTCAATGTATGGCTTATGCTTGCCTCAGTTTCCAAATAAAGCAATAAGAACATATATCACAAAGCTGGATAATTTGCCAAGAAAATTTTTATTCAACAAGCTCACCCCACAACATACATTATAGAAACATCCTTTGTTCAGAACTTTCCTTTCAAAAAAGAAACAGTGACGATTGTTAAACACCTCTGAATTGACTTCATGTCTTTTTAAACTCATCAATGTGAGCTCAAGCTTCAACAAATTTATCAATGAAAATAAAGAAAAAAAGCAGAAGTTGTATGCGCCAGTGTTTCCTCACTGCATTTCTTTTCAGGCCATGGATCTTTGCTGTGCATAGCTCTCCCTACCAACCATCATACAAATTTAGATAGATCACATCGTAGCTCTTTGGTATAGTCAATGTACAAAGCATAAAGGAGTCCAAACAGTGTGGCAAAAGCATTTTGAACATCTTGGAGGTCCAAAACCACAATCTGCTCTTCAAGTATCACAGCCACATCCACAACATAATCTGGGAAGACACTATCGTGTCTCACTCACGGTTAAGATCTCCACATTTACCCTGCGAACAATGTCTTGCATCATCAATAGACTGAAATGAATGAGCGAGAAAAAACTGTATAGTCCACTATGGTGGTGAACTATAACTTTCATTACTGCATAAACAGACAATACCTAAACATTGAAGAAATTCATTGGCATTTTCCCTGCATTTATTTCCAGGAGTAAATATTGAATGATATCGTTCATGCAGAAGTTTATATCAGCGGCTTGAACACTGAACAGTATCTGTGTTTGCGTGGACAGCTATTGATTTATTCTGAATGTAATCATTCTTGTTGATGATTCAGAAAGTTTACATGAACACTAAATAATTAGATTGACGTGTGTTATTGTTGGATAAAATCGGAATTATATATATATTGGGAAATAACCGACAAAAGTGCAATATTTTGTGTTTCGGTGACAGTGACGCATATTTTGATGTGGGAAAAATGAGAATTCAGGAATTTCCAGAATACTCGAATAGCTCTATTTGGAAAGAAATAATAATTCTAGAAAATATTTACATCTGAATTTGTAGATTTTAAACCAATCAAGCTCTAATTTGTTTGAAAGCTGCAGGGAGTCCTTAAAGCTTCTCTGCTCTGCAACTCTAAACACACCAGATCCTGACTGAATTGCGTGAACACACAAGATCCTCCTGTGTGACTCACATTACTCGCATACAAAGATCATGCTGGAATGTGCGAGGAACATGGAATGTTACTTCCTTTTAGGTCAAAGGTCAAGGACAGCCATCCAATAGGGATTCTGCATGGACATAATATAAAAACATGCCTTAAAATATGTTTACTAAAAAAAAAAAACAAGTCAACCTATAAACAATAAAATGTTATCAGTAATAAACATTGTAAACAGCAATAGTTGTCGTATTTATAGTTAGTATTTAAATTAATGCAAAAATTCAATTAAGAGTTGTGTAAAATTAGATTAAACTGAGGTTTCACTTTATTTTAAGGTATCCTTGTTACTGTGTAATTACATTAAGTAATTTTAAGTAGACTATAGTATGTACTAGAGTTTGGTTATGGGTTAGTTATTACAAGTAATGGTGTATGTACTGTTATAGTAAGTAGCATAGATGCAACATGTAGATAGGCCTAGGCCTACTACAAGGGATTGTAAAATAGTGTTTACCAAAACTTGTAAGAATTTTTAGACTGTTAATTGACTTATTAATATTTTCTTAATTAGCCCAAAAGGGAAACAGAAAGAGAAAACGCTCATCTTCTAACGTTACATCTTTATTCATAACTGGCACCACGAAAAAAGGCATGATTTTCAGGAGAAAAGTGTGGATCACAGCGGGACAAAAATGAAAAATAAACGTGTTTCAGCCTCAGCTTCGACTCTTGCAAATGCTTAAAGAATCTACTGCAGATGTTTTTGTCACAATTAAATTATACATAATAAGTAGCCAAGGCTATAGGATTCGTGCACGACAGTCATCACTTGTTTTTGATTTGAGATTTAATAAAAGAGACATGGTATACCGTTTTGAAAACTGATGTGCACTTTGCTCGGTAGAAAGGTATAAATAAAGTAATACCTTTTTCGACATAGAAGGAGATTGTGAGTTTGAGATTGCCTTAAGTAACGTTATCTAGGCTATGTTAACGCTAATGAAAAGACATATTAGCAAGACTATAAATAAAGTAAAGCAAAAAAGCTGATACAATTCGACAAATATGAAAGTGATTAGGTTATAGAATACAAAGGTTAGTTGCTAACTACAAACAATCTAAATAAGTTAACGTTGTTGGTTTGAGTGAACCTGCAATTGACGCGGCCGTAGCTAAATAAAATTCCCAAGCGCCTTATAGGCCAATATGCCCGAATTAAGAAACATCGCAAATTCACAATAAACACATAAATGAGTACAACTGTATAACAGCACTCACACATTGATCAACTCCCGTTATGCCGCTCCTCGCGGCAG